TAGGACATGACCCGAACAAAAAACAGGTACGACTGGGGCCCATTGTCCGAGGTAGTTAACAGGTCAACTCCAGGCTTAATAGGGATCTCCAGCCCGAGTTCAGAAGCTCCAGGTTTCCCTATGCCGCTCCATGCCATATTGGTACGAACTGAGACTCCGACGCGGGACCTATGCAGGGTTCGGACCCGGTCATCCGAACTGCTCGTCGCGTCTAGATCTGATCGAGTTCGGACCCGAGTTCCATTCGCCTACGCACAGGGAGAGATGTTGGATTTGGTTCTCAAAATGTGGGTCAAATGAACCGGGAGTGACAGTCCAACACTGTAATGATCAGGTTGGATATGTGGTGTGTTCTTTTTCGGATGTATACATGCTAAACACTTATTAAATTGAGTGTCCATCCATCAATAAAACCACCAAAATGCTGCCATCCGCACACAAAAACACGCTGATGACCTGTGGAAGAGTCCATCTGCAAGGAAGCGTTTGTCATTGCCCTGATTCTGTACTCAGAGAGCAAAGTCCTCTACCACCTGAATTACAATGAAATCCGCAGATCCACCATGATACCCAGACACGACCTGTCTGGGGCTGCCAGGACGGACTGCCGATCAAGCCAGACCCCTCTGGCACCACCCAATCGGCCGTTTTGAAGGCAGTCCTATGGCAGTCCCAGACAGGTCGTGTCTGGGTGAATGGATCGTTCGTCCGTTACAACCAACAGAGGTTGAAGGACTTGAAGGACCCGAACTAGCCTATCCCAGTTCGGTACCCCAGTAAGGTCCTATAAGGTCACTTAACCTCTCTTGGAATCTCTCGCTTCTTTGTTCTACCCCCTGTTTCTACCCCCTGCTACTGTGGAGCCATCACGGCCAGTTCACCATCCCAGGCCTGTTCCTTCTTCTTTTGCCTTGGCGCACGTGTTGGAGCACGTTTCATAGAGGAATAGCCGTAAAGCAGCTCAGTTGTTTGGGATTCAGGCTATTGATGGCTATTGAATCAATGGTGAACGACCAGAAGCCTAGGGTGAAACCAGCAACCCCAAAACGGGTTTCCCGAACACTGCGCTGGCCCATGTCACTTGAACTTTCTATCGGTTTCAGGGGGGTGCGTGGATCATACCTGTGAGATTACCATTGGCACATACCTGGATCTTCCAACTATACAACATGTCTGCCGAACTTGGCTGAATCTTATGGATGAAAAAGCAAACATGCTGCACATGGAAGCTCCATGTACCTATGGATCTTCCAATTATGTTGAACATATGCCGAACCTGGCTGGTTTTATATGATCCAAAAAGCACCAGGAGTCACAAAGGGGTGCCTATTGGAGGTTAGGGGTGCCCAGCTACTCCACTCACTGGATGGGACCAAACACCACCCCGTCGAACGTGACCCCTGGCATATATGTTCAGAGTTGGAAGATCCAGGTATATGACTCGACTGGCAGACCAGGAGCATCCGAACTCGGGGTGTCTATAATGGCTTCACCCGCGATCAGCTTAAGCAGTGCAGGATAGCCTCTAGTCTTGGAAGTAGCTGGTATATGAGCCCTCTGTTGGAGGAGACCTGGAGGCGATCCAGGTCTGGCTTTACAAATACTTGAGGAAGCACCACCGGGGAACACCCTCCCACCCTCCGAAAGCCCCTGGCTCTCTTCAGCTCCTCATCCACCATCTTCCCACGTGGAAGTCACCCCCAACACGATCCCCCCGGAACCCCATGTTGGAGCAAAACAACGGTTTCTTTGCCCGTTGGGATCCGTCTTCGTACCGGCAAATAACAGTGTCGAACACATGATTGTACCTGAGAAGGTATGTGGATCCATAGGGTTTATTCAAAAGAGGCCTTGGTGTCTTGGTGTGAAGACCTCCTTTCATAGCTTTCTTGGGTCAATGTCAATGGTGTTGGAGTCCGTCCAATCCGTGAAGGCGTTTTGGTGATTAGAACCTTCATCAGTTGACCCAAAAGACCTAAATTCTGGGCACCCCTAACCTCCAAGTTCAGCACGCAGCAGGGGGCGCAGTCGGTGCAGTCGGGGCTTAGACACATGCTTTCTCCGGGTATGTTCGGCGACCGCGACCGCGGCAAAGGGCGACCGCGACTGGGCCTTTCGGCGACCGCGACCACACAGACCCTCTCCACGACCGGACACCCTGTCCCGCCTTTGGACCAGACACGACTTGTCTGGGACTGCCAGTCCGTTCTGCCACCCCAGAGTCTGACCCCTCTGGCACGCACCACCCCATCGGCCGTGAGTTTTGAAGGCAGTCCGGACTGGCGTCGTCCCAGAGGGCGGTCGTGTCTGGGTTAGACCAGTTCTCACTCGCCCTGTTTGGACGATGAATCCACCGGTGTTCTCGCGCTTCGAAGGCGCTTCGATGGTCGAGGAGCTGTGCCAGGGAGGGCAGGAGGTGAACTCGGGCTGCCTCCTTCATCGCCAGCCTCACGAGAAGACGAAGAAAATCGACAAGGATCGAAGAAGGGTGTTTGAATGGTTACCCCTAGACTTCCAAGACCATTTAAAAAATGGTTGACCTGGTTTTTGTAGTGTAAAATAGTGTAAAATCCTTAAAGTAGTTGAGACCATAAAGCCTATTAAATTAATGGTGGTTGGAAGCCTAGGGTACTGTTTGGGCCTCTCTTAGAAGGTTTTTGGGCGACAGCGTTGCGTGACGCGCAGGTCCTAGTACCAAAAAGCTTCACAATGTGAAGTTCTCCGGTCCTTCGTTGGTGATATGTTTCTTCAGGTGACGAGACAAGGAGTTCCATTGCGTTCCCCTGAAACAACCGAACTCTCATTCATTCGAGACTCAGGATCTATCTTATATCTTTATAAAGTTCATTGAGCTGACTAAATGAGCCCAGCTGACGACGGAAGCGTCGTGGACGTAGCGTGGCGCCAAAGAAGAACTGAGATCATCCAACAGGTCCGTTCCACCTCCAACGCCGTCTCGGTGTGCTCCACGACGCTAGCCCCTTGCCCACCGATGCTCGCCGAAGCTCCAAGCGCCCGGGCAAATAAGTGCAGTAAGGCTCAGGCTCCTGCATTGGCACCCTATCCATTACACTGGAATCATAAAATGAAGTGGAAAACCACCCTAAGCACTTCACCTTGGAAGCAAATGACTCCTCCATTCTGAGCAAATAACCTTTGAAGAAAATAGATCACCGCTTTGATCAAAGCAAATCAACCAAATCACCAGTGCCGCAACCTCAAGCAAAAAATCTTTGCCAGGACCTTCCCAGTGACCTCTTCAGGATTGGTATACGTGACCTTTTCAAGGCCTGTTTGTGACCTCAGCCACTGGGATCTCAAGTTCAGTCACTGGGCAGGTCCTGGTGGTTGCAGCTCTCATATACCCTGGGAGTCAAAGACTATAAAAGGAATGGTCTTTAGCAAACCTGAGTCCGGGAACTTCCTTTACTTTAGCCAGCCAAAATATAGTCGAACTGGACTTCTAGGGTATATATAGGCCAGACTCCCAGATGCGACCCAAGACCGGCCCCCAAGTAGGGGGGGCCGTACCTGTTCATCAGCTCCTGGACCTTCCTGACGGCATCGACGACCTAGGCATGGTCCATCTGCCCGTCTGAGAGGTTGTTGGTGTCTGAAACCCATCAGAGCCGACCCTGGACCGCCCCACCCAAGGACCGGGCATCTCAGCCGGGAAAGCCTCTCTCGAGGCGTCGCTAGCGACGCCATCGGAGCCGGGTCCTTGCCGGGACGAAGACCTAGAGAAAGTCGACCTGCAGCGTTCTGGCGGCGTCGAAGAAGTTCCCCGTGAATGTTCCCAAACCGAGTGCAGAACTGACTAGAACTGGTAGTACCCCTATATAACAGGCTCAGGGTTATAGTGGTGGAGAAAAAAAAGGACGACCAGGTAGAGTATACATAAAATGAGTCATTCATGCAAGTCCTGGGTGTTCACTTCCCCTACACCTCCAGTCGTACCTCCTCAGAAGGTACGTATTTGGACTCTCCGAACCCACCCCAGTCCCACCGAACCTCAGAAGGTATGACTGGAGGCCTAGGGTTCATGAACTGGTTTATTCGTTGCATGGCGGAGAACATCTCCAAGGATTTCCACCCTTGACCATTCTTTAGCGAAGCCCAAACAGGAGCAAGCTATTACCCAGACACTCCATGTATGCCATTACATGGAGTGTCTGGGTTGTATCCATTCGGTGGCGCTGGGCGATCAACTTTGAGTGCGACATATCTGCGAAATGGTTCTGGCTTGGATAGGCTGTCCAGGAAGCTCGAATACAGGACAAAAGCAGGACATCCCAGTTTCGGGGATGTGTACATGATTCAACGATATACCCAAACACTCCATGTATGCTACATATGCCTATACATTGAGGTGGTGCCAGAGCGGGTCAGACTCTGGGGCGGCTCTGACAGTCCCGGTTCGCGTCTGACTGCGGGGCCGCAGCTGATCGACCGCAAGCTCCGATCCCGACGGCTCCGGATCGACCAGATCGCTTGCTTCTTGAAAGCAGGGCGGGGCGGGGCCGGGCTCCGAAGTGACACACCAAATGGTGGCCTTCAACCAAAAGGCGGAAGGGATGTAACTCATCATCTCTCTTATCTCTCTTTTCTTGGGCCATACTCAGGATCTAGGGGATGACAGCCATGGCTGTAGGAGTGGAGGAGTTGGTGTTGGTCCATGGCTGCGGTTGGTCCATGACATACACATATCTTTCCCTCTTAGATCTCTAAAAACAAGTCTGTTCGTCTTCGGCTCGCACCTCTTTTCCGCTGGGTGAACCCAATCACTGAGATTGCGTCAGGCTTGCCAAAGACCCACAACCCTCAAAGGCATCAATTCCAATGTGTATCACAGAGTCAGGGATGGTCAAGCTCGCCAAAGAGCTGCAACCCTTAAAGGCACCAATCCCAATGTGGGTCACTGAGTCCGGGATGGTCAAGTTTGTCACAGAGGTGCAACCCAGAAAGGCACCATCCCCAATGTGGGTCACTGAGTTTGGGATGGTCAAGTTACGCATAGAGCTGCAACCTTCAAAGGCATTATTCCCAATGTAGGTCACTGGGTTTGGGATCGTCAAGTTTGCCAAAGAGCTGCAACCCTTAAAGGCGTGATTGCCAATGTAGGTCACAGAGTCTGGGATGGCCACATTCACCAAAGAGCTGCAAGACTGAAAGGCACCACAGTTGATGTCAGTCACTGAGTTCGGGATGGTTAAGCTTGCCAATGAGCTGCAATGACAAAAGGCATTGTCCCCAATGTGTGTCACTGAGTTTGGGATGGTCAAGTTTGCCAAAGAGGTGCATCTGTTAAAGGCACCAACCCCAATGTGAGACACTGAGCTTGGAATGGTCAAGTCTGACAAAGAGCTGCAACCGGCAAAGGCAAAATTCTCAATGCGTGTCACTGAGTCCGGGATGGTCAAGCTTGCCAAGGAGCTGCAATATGCAAAGGCACTATACCCAACGTGTGTCACTGAGTCCGGAATGGTCGAGCTCACCAAAGAGCTGCAATATGCAAAGGCACTATTCTCAATGTGTGTCACTGAGTCTGGAATGGTCAAGCTCACCAAAGAGCCGCAATATGCAAAGGCA